GCTCTTGGTTCTTATCTTGGAATATTAGTTAAAAAAGGAATTCATGCACCTTTGAGCATCCCACGATGGGATTGTAAGGAGTTTGGTGTCTTCAAGAACAACCTTCTAAAACTTGTGAAGGTAAATTCTCTTAAAACTTGGAATCTATATCATGAGTTCATAGTCTAATTTGAATTAAGTTTAGGTCTCTTTTGCTTTGTTGCTAGTTTCGTGTCCTAATATGGTATGAAATTTAAAGTTAGGACTATTGGCCAATATCAAAGGAATAAAAACAAAAAAATGAATTAGGTAGTGTTAGAAATCAAGTGGATCATAGTTGAGGAGTCGAATTATTCCTTGATTTCTAGACACGTTGGTGGTTCTGCATAGTTTGCCTCAAATCCTATTAAATACATTCCTTATGTACATGATATTGGACTGCTTGGAGCAAATTAACGTGCATGACTCTTGTTTCTCCTCTTTATATTTTATGTCACCTTACGTACATTTTTCCTTTTTTAACCGCTTATCATCATAATTCGATAATGAACAGATCACCATTTTTTACCTATGTCCTTTTTTACCTTCTCTTTCTATTATTAATTAGTTGAATTGGATTGAATTGCTTTTATCCCCAGATCTTGTAACTCCTTATGCCATCCCGATCAAAGTTTAGTCTTGTATTGAGTGTGTGTTCGTTTAATTAAGAGATCGTGGAGAAGCAAGTTTGATATGTGTGTATATGCATTGGTTGGAATCCTAAATTACTGCTATATATATTTCATTCCAAGTCCAATATGTTAATTAATGATTTGGTTAGTTCTAAAAAATGAGCACAAAATGGAAGCCATATTTGTGTATATGCTACTTTCCTATTTGCATGGATCCCATAATTGTGATGAAGGCACCAACGTGTGGCCATACCTTCGTTCGATTGTATTGACAGATTGGAAGAAGCACAAAAAACATGCCTCGCTTTGTACTACCTAGTAATTTGCATTGACGGATTCTGGTGATATTAACTTCATTAAATAGTGAATGTACTAGCTAGTAATTTGCATATCTTCAATCATAAAGTTTTAAGCATTTAAGTAATGATGAGATGCCGATATCATTATGCTCACTTATAATTTTTTTTACATGTTTTATAGAAAAAGTTTGACTTTCCCGATATTGCAAAGAAATGGATTTTGGCATCGTTAAATAAGAAGTGGAGGGATTTCAAAAGTGACTTGAAAGCCGAGTTTTTTGATCCTGGTAAAATGGCGGAAGAGATCATTGCATCCAAAGAATTGCCTCCCGGTGTGTTGATAGATCAATGATCTACTTTGGTCAATAGATGGTTTACTCCGGAAAGCCGGGTTTCAAATTATTTCATATTTTAACTAGCTTTTTTTTTTTTTTTATTAATGTAGAAAGCAAGTGAGGTAAATACTGCAAATGCAAACAAAAATAAATGTGCACATACATTAGGTAGAAAAAGTTGTGCAAGAAAAAGAAGAGAAATGGTAATTTTAATAATTTATAACTTTACATTTAAATATCGTTTATGTATGAAATTAGATTAAATATGTATAATTGTTTGTAGGAAGAAAGGGGTGGAAAGGAACTTGATAGGTTGACATTGTATGAAGCTACTCATAAGAAGAATGATGGCACATTTGTGGATGACAATATTCGGCTAAAAATGGTACTAAAAATTTATTGTTGATGAATGATATTTCATTATTCACTTATTCTAAATATATTTGTCTTGACATTAATAGGAAAAAGGCTCGTTCTCTCCAAGTCGAGCGTTATAAAGGTTCCTCAACCTCCGAGTGTTACTGCTATAAATGAAGAGATTTTTCAAGAAGTTATGGGTAAACAACACAATGGTAGAGTTAGAGGATTAGGCTTGGGTCTAACACCAACATTATTTTTTGATTTACAATCTCAACTTGGAAGTGGTCAAGGCGGTGCATCCGCAAATCAATCAATTGAAGTAGAAGAAATGAAAGAGCGATTGCATACAATGAAAACCAAATATGAAGCAATGAAATCCAGATATAATACAATAAATGAGACATTAACTGCTATTACTCGCTTTCATTGCGAGAGAGATATCCGGATCATAATTTGATGCTCACTTCGTTAAATCTTACTCGGGTATCATATACTTTTAATTAAATATTTAACTTGTTTCTTGATCTTAAAATATTTTTAATGAGTTTTTATCTCGTATTTACATTATTTTTTGTTGACTTTCAAATTGTGTTGTTGATAGGTTCGCAATGATAGTAATGGTCAAAATGCTCCTTCTCCTAATCGTTCATCACAAACAAGTCATCTGCCGAAATGAAACATTTCTATAAAAACATGTTTGTTTTTTTTTTTTTTTGGAAAACATTAGCTACTAAATTTAAAATATATTTGGAATTTTGTTTATGTATTTCAAACAAATGTTTAATACTTTAGTTTTTATTTTTATTTGTAAATGTTTGACGACCTTTTATGTATTTGAAATTTGATAATTTTTCTTTAATTTGCATTCAACAAGATTAATGTTTTTGTAATTTATTTGTTTTTTTGACCAATAAAAAAAATTAAATTTGAATATGAATTATGAAATTCGTTTTTATGAATTCTAAATTTTAAGGTGGTTACAATCGCCTCTATAAATATTGTAGAAAAAACGTATATTTTAAAACTTGAGGCGGTTCTAATAAATCTATCACCAAATTCAAAAAAAAAAAAAAAAACCGGGAACGTAGAGGCGGTTCAAAACCGCCTCTACAATTACGCGCCAAAAATTCCTAAGGATGAGCTTTTCCCACTAGAGGTGGTTTGAACTGCCTCAAAAAAAATTACTAGAGGCGGTTTAAACGGCCTCAAAAAACTGCCTCAAACTTCCCCGACGGTTGGGAAAACCGCCATAACTCCGTAGAGACGGCGGCATTGCAGGTGGTCTTGGGGTGGTTGGAACAACCGCCGCTACGAATCGTAGAGGCGGTTATAACTGCCTCTATAGTGTGAAAAAACCGACGGGAATACCTATTTTTGGTGTAGTGGCGAACTGCAATTGTTGGCCGTGTAAAGATAGAAACTAGACCTCTTATCCTTGTTGAGGCAAAGGCATGTATCAGTATAACATTACCAAGCATGATCTATTGTTCTTCTAAAATAATACAAATCGACGGACAGTGAAAATTTGAGTACTTACAGACTCTGCAATTTGTTTTTCTGAACCATCTCAATATGTCATCTTCTTGGTAAAATGTTACCGCTAACAACTATCTTCTGCATGATTAAAGATCTAACAAGGGGGATTTTAAGTCAGTTCATCAGAACTAATTAAGTTAATTAGTAAAGAGTAATAAGTTGCAATTCAAGATGGTCTAACTACTGACTACTTCTGTCCTGCAGAATTATGTAAAGGAACTTGTTGATGCTAATGGGAAAAAAAAATAGTATTCTAAATCTTATAGAATGTTTGGTGTTACAGATTGAGTCAGATGATCAAACTCTGTATAGCATTTTCCTCCAGAATGCAAAAACAGTTGGCTTAGTCTCTCCTTGTGAAGGTCTGTAAGGACTGCTATTTTACTTTCTGCATGTTTTGAGTTATTTATTTGTTCAATTGTTTCTCTTCTGCAGGAAATGGACTGCTAAAAGCATCGATCCTGTCACTTCACTGAAAGTTAGAGATGAGGTATTATTGCGAATACAAGGAGGGGCCCGACATACAGGAATAGAAATTCAAGAATTCATTGCTGAGAACTGAATAATGTAAAGGATCAACATAGTTAACCTGATGAATTAATTTGCAACATGCTTGTCCGAAAATCCAGTGCCTTCTCCAATCAGTTGGAAAGGTGAGTAAGAATCAAATCACAAGTCTCTCGCATGGGATGCATGCCATTGTAACTACTGTTTTTCGTAGAGACGGGCGTGTTGGATATCTTTCCAGGTCTTGAACCCATGTGTTGGTGCAAGTTCAAGGCCAAAAATTTTCTGGTCTTCCAATACTGACAATCTTGACTCGACTACAAAAAAAAGTTTACATTTCCAATTAGACATTGCAAGAGGATCTGAATACCTACCTGTATTAGCATTATTATTATTATTATACCTATAATAAAAGCGAGACGTTGTTTCACCGTAGCTAAGCCCCTGCTACAATGAAACCAAAACGGAATCGTTTTGGGTTTTTTATACTCAAAACGACGCCGTTTTTTCAAAAAAAATAAATGATTTTTTTATCAATTTGTCAATAATTTACATTTTGATCCTCTAAGTTATTACTTTATATAAAATAGTCTCTAATTTTCATTAATATTATCAAAAGGTCCCTATCATTTTTTTTCGAACTGGGTTTTTTCATTAATTATTATTTAATAAAAATAATTTTTTTTCCATGATCAATGGTTACTTTTTCTATTTTTATAAATATTCATGAACTAAAATTAAATATTCTTCTAATATAAATAGATTAAACACCTCCTTCTAATTGAATTTTTTTAAAAATAAATAATTAATTGCATGTAATTTTTATCTATCAAAATAAAAAATATTCCTAAGAAATATTTAAATTCAATTATATATATATTAAAATAAATAATTTTTTTATAATGAGTATTAATTAATTTTTATTATATATTTTTATTTTTAAATTATTTAAAATATTAAAACATAAATATAATAAACTTACCCGTAACAATGCGCGGGTGTTGAGCTAGTTTCTACCTATATTGATATTGGTGAAACTTTTCTTCTTTGTGGAAAAAGGGAGGCAGAGAATATGAAGCTTCGGCGTTTGTCAAATTGGATCGGATAGAATTAATGTTCTTTTATAAACGCTTTAATTGGGTTAGAAAACGATATCACGCGTGGACCCATACATCATCAGCTTTGGTTTGAAATTTAAGTGTGGCAGTGAACAACAACGATCAGACGAGAATGAGAAACACATGCATGCACCTTTAAATTTCTTTGTGCATAAATTTAGCATTTTTCATTGAAGGCAAGCATTAAACACAAGCATGGTGTCCCTTTATTATGAGTCGCAACTTCTTGCAACTATTGGCATCACATTTCTCTTGTCATGTATTGTGGTTCCACTTGACTCAGCCTTTCTAGCGTCAGAAGGCAAGGCTTTGCTTGAGAGTGGATGGTGGAGCAACTGCATCAATCTCCCTTCAGATCATTGCAGGTGGCCTGGTATAGTCTGTAATCGGGCTGGAAGCATCATTGCGATTTCTCCACCTTCGAGTTCTTCGAGGTGGGAACTAAGTTTAGAAATATGAACTTTTCTTGCTTCTCAAACCTTGTTCATCTCGACCCGGCCAACCATGGGCTCACCTGGATGCATCCACCTCAAATTTCTGTCCTTTCAAAAATCAAGTGCCTCAACTTCGTCCTTAAATTTTCTAAGAGATGAGTTACCATCATCTTCACTTGCGAACCTTAGCCGAGTTAGTGAAACTTGACATTTCTTCCAATTGTATCCCTATATATCCCTCCAAAATTAGGTAATCTTACCAATCTTGTTGTTTTGAAAATATCCAACGATTACCTTTTTGGCACCTTCCCTTCAACACTTTGTAATTTGAACAAGTCTAACGCACTTGGCCATGGATTCCGGTTATCTTAGAGGTGTCATCCCTAGAGAAATAGGAAATATGAAAAATCTAGAGAGTTTGAACCTTAGTGATAATGAACTTACTGGTCCAATCCCTCAAACATGGTGTAGTCTAGTTAAGTCGAGGTCTTTCTTTCTTACAACACAATCAATGGATCCATCTCTTCAAAAGTAGGAAATTTATCGATGCTTGAAAAGCTAGATCTCAATTTTAATAAACTTACTGGTCCAATCCCTCGAGCACTAGGTAGTTTAGTCAAGTTGAGGTCTTTAAGTCTTTTTACAACGGAATCAATGGATCCATCCCTTTAAAAATAGGAAATTTGACAATGCTTGAAGAGCTAGGTCTCGAGTGGTAATAATCTTGTTGGTTCCATTCCTTTGAAAATAGGAAATTTGGGGAAGCTTGAAGAGTTACATCTTAGTCATAATAATCTTGTTAGTTCAATTCCTTTGGAAATAGGTAATTTAGGGAAGCTTAAAGAGTTAGATCTCGGTCATAATAACCTCGTTGGTTCAATCCCTTTGGAAACAAGTAATTTAAGGAAGTTTGAAGAGTTAGATCTCGGTCATAATAACCTCGTTGGTTCAATCCCTTTGGAAATAGGTAATTTGGGCAAGCTTAAAGAGTTAGATCTCACTCGCAATAACCTTGTTGGCCCTATTTCTTTTACATTGGATCGTTTATCTAGTTTGAGTTTTTTAGACCTCGAGTACTAACCAAATCAAAGGATCCATTCCTTCGAATTAGGAAGTTTGACAATGCTTGAAGAGTTATTTCTTAATTTTAATTGCCTTGTTGGTTTAATTCCTTTAGAAATAGGAAATTTGGGGAAGCTTGAAGAGCTAAATCTCGGTTATATAGGAAATTTGGGAAAGCTTAAAGGGTTAGATCTTAGTCACAATAACCTTGTTGGTCCTATTCCTAAGGGTGAGCAAACGATTCGATTAACCAAAAGCTGAATACAACCAAACCAAAATACCTAATTTGGTTCGTTTTTTCATTTCAATTTATGAAAAAAAAAACCAAAATTTGATCACTTTTCGATTTCGGTTTCGATTTTTAAACATTTAAACCGAGTTTCCATCGAAAACCAAACACCTCACCTAATTATATTTTATATAAATTAAAATAAGTTTAAAAATAGCTAACCTATTTATATTTTATTTAACCGAAATTGGGCTTTAAGGTTTTCACTTGACTCTTGCAAATTCAAACATCAACCCATAAAATGCCATGAACTTTAAAGGACAAGGCCCACACGAATCACAACCCACAAGTAAAAGAGGAGAAGTCAAGCTTAATTTATAACCTATCCCCCACCCTCCAAAAGCTAAATTAAGCGATGTGGGATAAAGGGAAGCTCAAAGGGTGAGTTCACTATCCCACATTGAAAAAAACATGCTTTTGAGACTTGAAAAGGTCTATAAATAACCCATCTCACTAACCAAAACTAATATATTTGAAATCATCCCACATCCGAAAAGAATTCATGTATGAGTTCGAAAATATTTATAAATATTATAGGTCGTGGGATGGTGAACTTGAGCTCTCGGTTTCATTTTCCGACTTTGCTTTTGGATAAGTGTAGTAGTGTTGATAGTTTCGATTAATACCGAAAAGCCAAAAATAAAAACCAAAATAATTTGAAACCAAAATTTATCTACCGAATTGTTATTTGGTTCGGTTCGGTTGTAATTTTTTTGTGTTCGGTTAACCAAAAACCGAATCGAAATAGTTAAAAATCGAACCGAAAAGCTCGTTTGCTCACCCCTACCTATTCCTTCTACATTGGATCGCTTATCCGAGTTTGAGTTTTCTAGACCTCGGCACTAACCAAATCAAGGGATCCATTCCTTTAGAATTAGGAAATTTGAAGAATCTACATTTCTTGTACCTACATTCCAACAAGCTCACCGATGTGATTCCTCATACATTAGGCAATTTAGCCAACTTGAGTGCTCGAACCTTTCTAGCAACCAAATCATCGGGTCCATCCCTTCATCATTGGTGAATTGCCTAAATTTAGTAACTCGGATTTGAGCTACAACAACTTAAGTGAAGAGATACCTTCCCAATTACATAACTTGCTATTACATTTTGTCAATTTTAGCTACAATAATCTATCGAGCTTCATTCTAATTGATTGGACTCCCCCTTCGGTGTTCCTGTAACATGTAGTTCTTTAAATGACCAAAGCATACATGATCCTAGAAACATGTCGTCTATCGCATTTGAAGGCAACTTAAATCTTCAACTTGATTTCTTAAGTTGTTCACCTCTAAGTACTCCATTCTTAGATCTAAAAAGCAGCAAAAGTATCCATTCCGTCAAAATATTTCTTCCATTACCATCACTATCACCATTTGCCTTTTTCTATCTATCATTGGATGTCATTTGCTCTCTCAACATAAGAGCAAAGCTACGAAAGTTGAGTCAATCACATTGAAGAATGGAGACTTATTTTCTATATGGAATTATGATGGGAAAATTGCATTTGAAGACATCATTACTATGACGGAGGACTTTGACATTAGATATTGTATTAGATCTAGTGGTTATGGGAGTGTCTACACGAGCATAACTTCCAAGCGAAAGAGTAGTTGCCTAGAAGAAACTTCATCGTCGAGAGGCGAGAGGATGCGGGTTTTGACAAGAGTTTCAAGAATGAGGTGAAACTCGCCACACAAATATGACACAAAAACATCGTAAAGCTTTTTGGATTCTATTTGTACCAATGATGCATGTTTCTAATTTATGAGTACATGGAAAGGGGAAGCTTGTTTTGTGCCTTGAGAAAAGATGCTTAAGCTCGTGGAACCGAATTGGATGAAAAGAGTGAACATCATCAAAGACATTGCTCATGCGGTATCTTACTTACATCATGATTGCTCCCCACCAATTGTTCATCGAGACATGTCAAGCAACAATGTTCGTTGAATTCAGAATTGAAGGCTTTTGTTGCTGATTTTGGTGTGGCTAGACTTCTTCTTCCCGATTCATCCAACAATACTATTCTTGCATGAACTTATGGATACATTGCCCCGAGTTTAAATATTTCTTCTTATTATATTGTGTGCACCACTCCTACACTAATTACACATAATGAGAGAAGCAATAATCCCACCACAATAAACTAATTAGATGATTGGATAAAAGTAAACAACTTATAAAAAGTTAAAAAATTTGATTGCTAATCACAAAAGTTAGAAAAAACAACCTTTTTATCCAGTTATTTTTGTGATTTTGGGGAGGCCAATTGAAAAGAAAATCATCTTTTCTAGAGCAACTTATCTTATAATTAACGAGCATAAAGAAGATTTTAAAAAGTTTTAGAGGGCTAAAAGACACATTAATTATCTAATGTACGAAATTTATGAAAAAAATGGTAAATGTTGTAAAGTCTTTACACAGTTCACTTATGTAGATAATCTTGTATTAATTCTATCTCATTTTGTTGATGCGTAGAATTTGCTTATACTATGGAGGTGACTAGAAACTGTGATGTTTATAGTTTTGGAGTTGCGGCATTGGAAACATTGATGAGAAAGCATCTAGGAGATCTCTTATCATCATCATCTGCTCCGGCTATAACTTTGAGTCAATGTTAGATCCATGTCTATCACCTCCAAGAAATGAAATTCTCTAACAAAATATAATTGTTATTGTTGCTCTAGCATTTTCCCGCATCTATGCTAAGCTAAAATCATGACCTTCCATGAAATTCATGTCTCAAGGATTTCTATATCCTAGTAGACCATCGATCAGCTCTTTTTATGAGATTTATTTGCTGGAGTTGCAAAGTCTTGGCATGTACTATCTAACAAGTGAGACATGGTCACATATTCCATACCATCAAGATGAGAGCCTCATTGAGATGTGAAATTTGACCTACTATTGAACTTCGAGGAGAGCTTCTAAAAGAGCATGTTTGATGGTTGTTCTTCTTTTATGGATAGCTAAATATTTGTCTTTTTTCCTACATTAGTGAACTATATATTTATGTAATATTTTAGTGTAATAAGGAGAACTCTGTATGCATAAACCATTTTCCATTTAATTTGTAGTTTCGTTAACTTTGAATATTTTTATTTGTTTTTAATATCTAAACCATAAATATAGAATGATTGCATGCGATCATTCCTTTGGGTTATGTGACATTAGTTAGTCAACCTTGCAAATCAAGCTAATCAAGATAGACGAATGGTTTATAATATATCAAAATTGATAGTAAAAGATTTAATATGGATCAAATTTGTGTTAATAGATAGAAATAAGATCAAAATAAAAGTAGAGGATTGACTCTCCGAATCTTAACTTAGATTTTTTTGGTACAAAGGAGGAGGCAAAGCTAAGATCTCAAGAAATAGACACCAACAACATCACTAGACATGATGTCTCTAATACCTAGTGGAGGATGATTCCAAACTCAAAAAAGACCATCATATGACAAACCAATATGAGCGAGTTGATGCTTGATTACCTTCCCTCACGGTATGTTTAAAGGATACATACCACTATCTTTGACAAAGACAATGGATGTCTATGATAATGTTGTAGTAAGGAAGAGTCGAAGAACACCATTACAAATAATATTGATTGCTTCTTAGAAGTTAGTCTCCATGTTCAATTTCTAAAAGCCATAGTCCCAAGCAAGAATGAGATCTCGACAAATTACTTCTAACTTTGCCATCATAACAAAAGAGTGTACAAGATAACCTAAGAAACCAATTTTTCATACACCATAGTAGTCTCGAAGAAGATCCTTAATCCCCGCACGGGCAATCGAGCTCATGAAACTACCATCAATATTGCACTTAACTAAGTCTTGGGAGGGTGCTAACTAAGAGATCTAGCACTAGGAGAGTGGGCGATGGGCGAGGAGATGAAGATTCAAAGGCTAAAAGACAATCATGAGCCAAAGAGTGAATTAGCCTTACCTAACATCCAAATGGGAGTAGAGTACCTTGAATAAATTTTTTATTATGTGCACACTAAATAATCTTGCTTGTAAAGATAAAGAAATGGCATTAGTGCTAAAGAGTAGAAGAGCGGAAGGCATTTCCATAGAACCAATCCTCCTATGAAGTCGAGAAGAAATCGGTGGACATATTTATGCAATGTAGTTGCTACCAAATATTCTAAGCCTAATCGTAATCCCTAAGAATATGTATCACTATTTCTTGAGCCACACTACATCTTTGGCAAATAGGGAAAGTGGGCATGCCCCTATTAGTGGGGAGATGTTGCCACTCTAATTGCCATAAGACAAAATGATGCTTTTGTGTTAATTTCGGACTCCAAATGCTCTTCCATTTGATGTTCAACTTTGTTGGGTAAGAAACCCAAGTAATAAACTCATAAACATACATAATAGTATAACACCTTGAACTGTTTTCTTCTCAAGCTAATCTATCTATTGAAGAGAAGACTCTAGTATGAAAGGTAGCTAATAAAGACGCATGAATATATGCGGGTAGAGAAATAAAAAGAAGCGATGTATCCTAATTTCTAGATTTCAAGATGATATCCGTAACCAAGAACTCCCTCTCCTCTATATCTATGTTAGCCACATAATGCTTTACTAGAACATGCCCCAACCATTTATCAAACCATGTATAAAGAGGTCTTCCGGCCATCACCAACACTACAA